CTGATGCTCGCTCTATCACCTTCATTCCAGCAGCATTTTCTTGACAGCGAGACCAAGAGTCCCTGTTCCTTTCCCAGCTTTCCCTTTTATCCTGTATTTGTCCAACCTGCAGATGTTTTTAAAGTCAATTTAAGTCCCTGTGGCAACGATTCTATCCATTCTCCACCCAAAGAACGAACCCCAGGAATCTCCTTAGAGCGAATAAAATTAAGCGGGGAAAGGAGCGGGGAGGCAGAGAGAGAGAGGGAGACACCGAGAGCGAACACCCACTTCCATTGTCCGCGCAGCCGCCCCCTTGGAGAAGCCCTCGGATCCCCTCCGGCGAAGGACAGAAGAGCCTGGCACGGGAATCGCCGGCTCTGCTTGTTTCCAGCTCTTGTTTCTAGATCCCGGGTCTTCCCCGGCCGGGAGGCGACCCTCTCGGCTCCTGCTAACTTACGCGCCCACTGGCACTTTTACCCCGTCCGCCTGCCCCAGACCCCAGGCAGGTCATTTCCGTACCCAGCCGAGAGACACAGGCACAGAGGCGTCCCCCGCCCCCAGTGTCCTATCAACTCTTCCATATTCTGTCTAAGAAACGTCCTCTGTGCTCGGCCAGGCAGTAAATGATTTCTTCCTCTCTCCTCCCTTCTCTCCATTCTCTCTGTCCTCCTTCCCCTCTTGTTCTCCGCCCCCCCCCCCCAAACCCAGAGTAGCCGAAGTCCTCATTAAAATACACGCACAAGGCAATTAACGCTCCACACCCGGATAGGCAGGGCAGGGGCGGTTTGGTTACCTGGAACCTCCATGACGGGCGAGCGCCACAGTCCGCGAAGTTGTTCTGCTCAGAGAGAACGAGGCGAGCGCAGCTGTCGGGAGGAGGACACGGAGCGCGACCCTTCTCCCTGCGCGTGGCCAATAACCGCGCCGCCCCGCCCTGCCGCTTTCCCGCGCCGGCCTGCGCCCGCTCCGGGCTTGCACCACGCCCCGCGCCCGCGCCCGCACCTGCACGCCCCGCGTCCGGCTCAGCCGAGCGCCCCGCTCCGCCGACCCAGCGCGTCTAGCCCGCACGCTTCGCGCCCAGCGCCGCGGCGCCGCGAGTCCCGCACGCTGCCTCGGGCCCCCTGGCGCCCGGAGCCCAGCGCGCCCGCAGCGCGGCTCCTTCGCAGGTCCCCGCGGCCGCCGGTCCCCAGGGGGCACAGCCCAGCGCTGCCAACGCCCTGAGGACTCCGGAGAGCCCTCCTCCCGGCTTCGGTACCCCCTCCCCGCGCGCCCGCGGCGCCCTGCAACGCCCGGTCCGGCTCTCACCCAGACGCCCAGAGCGAAATCCTCCCAGCTGCCTCTTTTCTTAAAAAATTAGACACCCTCGAAAGCGCCGGTCGCTTGTCTTCTTTTAGAGTCTTTCTTTTCTTTTCCAAATTCCCTCCAGGTCTTAATCTTGAATAGCGTGACCACTTTCATAATGAAAGGGAAAAAGGCACAGTTTTCTTAAAAAAAAAATTAAAAAGACTGGGACGGAGAGAAAAAGCTTGAAAATTTAATGATTTAAGGGCTGTGGTTCCAGAATCTCCAGTTTGGAAAATGTCAGGATTTGGCAGGGATTGAAGAAATGCCTCTCGCCGGGGTGTAAGTGTCTGCTCCTCTGAACCCCGGGACTCGCGGAGCGCGCTGGCGCTCGCGTTTGTTTATTAAAATGCGGGCTCCGAGCTCTAGCGACCCGGGAGACGCGCGGGCTTCCGGGCTGCGCCGGGAGCGCGGGCCAGACGCGCAGGCACGGACGTGGGGCGCCACCTACGGGTGCCGGAGCCTCCCTGCGGGGCTGCGGACCCCGGGACTCCGACGGAGAGTGGGGGAGTCCTAGCCACAGGGCTGAGGTTTGCCTACCCACTTCCTTCACCCCACCGAGCAGCGTTGGCCTCTGCGGGAAATGCAACAGCAGGAGCAACAACAAGAATAGTATCTGGTCTTTACGGTTTTCTTCAATATCTTTGTCCCCCTGCAGAAGGAAGCAGCGCTCTTGATTTTGCAAGATCTTTACCGCTCTGACAAACAACCCTGCCAAGAAGATACATGCTGCAGCGAGGTTATCGTGGTTATTGTCTGCACAACGTTTGCACAGACCCCGCCGGTCCGTATAATCCCTGCCGACCTTAAAGAAAATATTTAAATGTGCACTGTCTTCGTAACTTGATTTTTTAAAACCTGCTTTAAAAAATACTTCGTCCTTTGACTTGCATAGGATACCTTTTCTGACAGGCTAATCTAAAAGAAGCCCCGAGTCAGCCAATGCTGTTGTTCATTAGAACAGAGCATTCTTATTTCTTATTCCTCCGGACTTCACACCTACCCTCTTCCCTTTGAAGATTTCAGCAGTGTTCTGATTCCACCCCAAGAAACGTGGGTCTTTTCAGGGAGGGGGGTTTGAAGGCCTTATTTCCCGTAGGCTCTCGCACAGCTATTCTCTCGATTTAGAATAGAGCTGCCAAGGCCTCATTTCTAAGCACTGAAGATGAAATTCACGTCAAATCAGTTCAGCTGGAATGGATGTGGGGGAAGGTCAGGGCAAAGCGAATGACAGCATTGCGCACTGTTGGATGAGACCAAATATTTAGAATGGGTGTAAGGATGTGATTAAAAGAAACTCTGAGCCAAATGCTTTCTACTTAATATAAAATGCAAAATAGTAGAAAATATAAAATAGCTCCCAAATCTCTCATCCTTAACCTTTTATGACATGTTGGTCACCTGTACTGGACTTTGCTGGGAAGCTTTTTCAAATCCTCCCTAGGTTGCTATGTTTTGTTACCGTTTTTGTAAGTTCAACATAATGGAAATAGTTCATTCATACTTTCAGATAGTTACTTTATTCCAGTAATGCATCGATTTGCCAGTATCCTATTGTCAGAATAAACACAACTCTATTATCTCATCCTAGAGAGTACTGATTTAGGTGCAAGCATAATAGCAAAGGACACTATTAGAAAAGAAATGTCAAGCACAGACTGATAATTAGACCAATGTAGGGACGCTAATTAAGTAGCAATACCTCTCTCACATCTATAAATATTTAAATAATAGCTCTATTCAGACACTTTGCAAATTCTGTGCTATAAACATTTCTTTTGACTAGTATAAATGCAAACACACATAAACCAAATTATTATCCTCACTTTTTGGGGAAAAACAAACCTCTTTTCTATATAGCAATGATCAGTTATTGAATGAAAGCAATAGGCATTCTTCTATAATGAAAAACCTGGTTAGGTTTAAATTTAGGCTTGAGATTATTTTTAGAAGGGAGTTAGTAATTGTGAAAGGTATCAGATTGACAGAGAAATTGATTATTCATTAATTAATTGGTTGTTTTACCTATAATTAGGCCTATTGGTGGACTTTTAACTCATAAGCATGCTTAGAAAATTTTTCAGAAAATAAGATTTAAAAGTGAAAAATTTACTAGTTATCTCAAGAATTACTTTTTCTGTTCATTTCCATGTTACTGGTAATTGCTGTTATTATTACTCATAGAACATTAGTAGTAGACTCTATTCCCTTAAGTGTAAGGACATTCCCATAGGCAATAATAACAATGGCAGCAACTTATTGAAGACCTGTGATGTGTGAGATCTCGCACCATGTCTTTCGTCTAGGATATAGCATACAGTTTAACACCCATAATCACCCTGTGGTAGAGATGGATGGTCATATAAGCTGAATGGGAAAATACTCTAATGTTTAAAAAAGTTGTGGAAGGAGAGTCTGAGACAACGCAAATCCTCCTCTTTTCATTTGTTCTAAATGTTTATCTCTTATAGAGCTTAAATTTGCTTTCCTTGGATATAACCCTCCACTGAAATGCATCTTCAGCATGCATTATAGTCTTTTCTAGCTTCTTTAAACTAATGCATCATATTTATGATTTTATTCTAGGTATGCCAAAAAATATGATCTATCTTGTATTTCATACTCTTGGATGTTAAAGCCATAAACACACTTCTATAAATAAACAAATAAGTATTAATAAATGTCAAAACATCTAAAATTATTAATAAATGTATTTTCTTTTTTCTTTTATTTAAATTTCAGAATATTGTGGGAGTACAAACATTTTGGTTACATATATTGCCTTTGCACTACCCAAGCCAGAGCTACAGATGTACACTATTCTAGAGGGTTAAGATAAAGAAAATATGTAATTCTAAATACTGCATTATCGAAATGCATATCAACTTAAACATGTATAACAGTAATGAAAAGTATAAATATTCAATGCTATGTGAACAATTTTACCTAACAAGTTAGTAACATAAGTAAAATTCCTGAAAATTTGGAATCAGTTCTAAATTAGTCACTGTTCAACAGAAAGACCAACAAAAGTTTGTTTATATGAGCCACTGGTTTGTGATTGTTGACTAAAATTACTACATAATCTCAATAACCTGGTAAAATTAGCTAAACAATTTGTTGGCTTAGTTAAAAA